CTGCGTTGCGGAGCCGCCGCGGGGATGCGGGAGGAGAAGATGCTGCTGTTCCCGGGGGAGCTGGTGCGGGGTGCGTTGGTGTAGGTAAAACCCTAAAATCCTGACCAAATTCCCGCTGGAGTTGATGTTCCCGGGCTGCAACATCAGCCCTGCGGTGTGGACAAAGTCAGCGCTGCGCCGGGACTCGGTTTCCCCTGGCACCACATTGCTGTGCGGGGCCCCAGCACTTCCTGGGCGTTTTCTGGCTCCTTTTCCAGCAGCAGTGACCTGGAGGGGGACACATTTCGTCCCTCCACTTTTGTAAGAGGAAGGCTGGGAGCTTCTTCCCCCTTCGCATTGCAAGGGAAATGAGCGGGTCCTGCAGTCTTTGGGGTCTCCCTCTCCTATCGCAGGATTTTGGCTCTTGCGTTTCCGTGTCCCCACGTGCAGCACCCTGGGTCCTGGCAGCTGTGGGGTGGGTGTCACTGGGGGTTTCCCACTGTTGGGTGCTGGGGTGGCCCCAGTGGGGAGGGAAATGCCACTGTCCCCTCCCTTGGGGCACCGCGCAGCCCCTCCCTGGGGGCAGCACCCTCCAGCAAGGAAGTGGATGCTGCTGTGGGAGGTGACATCCGTGGGCGAGGAGGCGACATCCGTGGGCAATGTGGTGACATCCGTGGGCAATGCAGGTGCCTGCCCAGGGGAGCCCCGGGGTGGACAACATCTGCTCTGGGCACCCAGGGCCTGGGGAAGGGGCGAGGAGAGGTGGATGCTGCATTAGAGGGGGAAAGAGGGGCAGATCCTGCTCCCTCGCTGCGTGGAGAGGTCTGTTGGGGGCATTTTGGGCTTGTACTGCCTTGCTTCTTCCACCCTCCCTTGCTCAGTGAGGGTAGAGGGGTGCGTGGCTCGTGGGGTGCCCTCTTTGGGTGCCCCGGGCAGCCGGCATGGGAGGGGTTAAGCGTGCAGCCATGGGTGTTGCTGGGAACAAGCACGCTGCCATCTGCACATTGCGATTTGGTGAGTGTGCAGGGGAGGGGCCCCGATCCCCGGCCTTTGGGGTGCTGCACCCCCCCCTGCTTCATGGGGTGAGGTGGGGGCTCTGCTGCAGCGCAGGGTTGGGGGTGAAGGGTTTACGAAGGGGGCTCTGCTGCTCAAAAGCCACCAAGCGTTGGTGTCCGCGTGGCCTAGGGACCATTGCTCCCCTGGCTCTGTCACTCCATCTCGGTTGTGCCATGGGAGATGGACCCGGCTCGGCCCCAGCAGGCCCCGGGGTGGGGAATTGTGCCCTCCTTCTGCCCGCGAAGAGCTGCATGCCCCAAAGCTTTGGTCTCTGTCAAAACCAAGCAGGGTGTGTGGTGGTGCAAAGGTGCCGGGGCAGACAAGCCCAGCACCCGGCGTCTCCCTGCACACTTGCTCCTTCCCTGCTGCGGTGGCTGTCCAGTGGGGTCCCATCCCCTCCCAAAACACCCTCCACCTGTGGTGGCAGCACTTAATGCATCTCTCCCAGTGATTTTCTCAGCAGATGCAGCCTTTCCAGCACCTTTTCAGCTCCCACTGCCATTAGAGCATCGTTCCCATGTGGGACCACAGCTCCCAGCAGCCGATGGTGGGGGCCGTGGAGTGGGGAGGAGCTGGGCGGTCTCTCCCAGGTTGCTTCCCAGTGAGCAGGCAGTGAAAGGTGCTTCAGGTCCTGTTTTCTGCTTTAATTGGGTATTTTGGCTTTTGGAGCCCATGTGTCCATCTGGAGAGTCCGTCTGTCTGTGCCATTGGGCCCTGGGGATCTCAGCACGGCCTCTCTGCTGGGGATGGAGCTTGGTTTTTAATTTCCAGAGAGGACAACCTGAAACACAGGCCATGAAGGGTGGTTTCAGGGGTTTTGGGTTCAGGGTTGTTTCAGGGGTTTTGGGTTTGGGTTTGGTTTTTTCCTCCCCACTTGGTAACATAACCAGCATCCCTCGCAGCTTTACATTGAGTTTGCCATGGCAACCTCCAGCAGCGAAGTGTTTCCACCACCCCATCCCCAAAATGGGCAAGGAGAGGACCCCTGCAGCAACGTGTGGGGCTGGGTAACATCCGTACCCGTGCAGCAGGGCTTGCACTTGGTCTCTTGTTGCTCTCTACAACCACCTGCAAGGAGGGGTAATGAGGTGGGTGTGGGTCTCTGCTTCCTAGGAACAAGTGATGGGATGAGAGGAAATGGCCTCAAGTTGTGCCAGGGCAGGGTTAGATTGGATATGGCGAAAAATTTCCTTATGGAACAAGTGGTCAAGCACTGAAGGGGCTGCCCAGGGCAGTGGTGGAGTCCCCCTCCCTGGAGGGGTTCAAAAACGGTGTGGATGTGGCACTTGGGGACGTGGTTTAGTGGCCATGGTGGGGTTGGGTTGGACTGGATGGTCTTGGAGGTCTTATCCAACCTTAATGACTTTGATTCTATGGCCAGGGCTGCTCCATCTCTGGTGCTCTGGTGGGGCTCAGGCCTTTGCCAGGGTCCGGTCTGGGTGCATTGAGCCAAGCAGGGAGGGTTCATGCTCTGTTGCGGTGGCCCAGCAAAAGCTGCTGGGGCTGCTGGTGCCACCAGCATCACAGCGAGACCGCTCGTGGCTCAGCTGAAGCTGTCCCGTGTGGCCCATCCAGCTGAATTATTTTACTTCATTGTCTCTATGAGCAGCTTGCTTTCCTCTCCCCGATGCATAAAAGCCAGTGGGTCCCTTTCCTTGTGCCAGCGGCCGCTCCGCTGCCCGCGATGCCCACACCGAGGGCTGTGTCAGCCCCGGCGCCGTCCTGCGGCCGCTCTCCCAGCCAGGCCGGAGGGGGAACGCAGCCGG